ACTCCTTGTAGAATGAGGTTTACAGGGACATCAAACTAGCAAGCCCGAAATAATGGGCTTGCTGTGAAGACGCAGGATAGTTATTTCAGGATACTCCGGTATCCCAAAATAGCATTGCAGTGTAGACGTAGCCTGAGTGATTTCCAGCTCTGGACAGGCAGAATAGAAACACTGTCCTGCTACGACTAGCTTCGGCTCTGATTCAGCAATTGAAATAAGGCTCTTGATGAAGCCTGTTGAGTTTGGATTCTTTGACCAGTTGGGATGATCAGGTTAACAGAGTCTTCAGGGGCCCTTGGTGAGGATCTAGAGCTTTGTAGCTGAGATATCTATCCCCACTCCTCTTACTTTCTCAGGGCTCTAACACTCAAGCCCCAGGTGAGCCCCACTTCATTTAGAACAGATTAAGCACAGTCCTGCTTTCCTGGGTTCCTCCAATAATTACAATATTAATAACCCTATCTCACTACCTCAGCTTTCAGTATTAGGTGATTTGAACCCAACATGAGCCACAGTTGATCATTTTCACCCTGTTCTATTTGCCGAATTTGCCGCAGGAGCACATCTTATTTACATAACTACACCCAAAGACTCTCCCCTTCAGCTCGCTGTCAGGGAAGCATTCATTCACTCCGGATTAGTTACATTCAGTTTCTAATCTCATTTAGCTAAATGGCTGCAACTTGTGTAGCCAAAGCCTTAGCTTTAGCGTATGTCCTCTCATTCACCTATGCCAGCTTTGCAGCATATGCTGCCAACACATCTCAGACTTACGTTGTTCATATCATCACACACAACGTAACACTTACAAGCCTAACTTTTCTAACCTCTTGTGGCTATAAGCCCAGAGCTTTGTTGGGTTTTCTTCTGCAACATTTCTCATTCATCCTGTATTACAACATCCAAAATCATGCACAATGCCCTCAGAACCGGGGGTCCCATACCTTCTGGACAATGCCAGGGTGCTTTTCCCTTGTTTTTGTACTTCATTTTTTGCAATTAGTTTACTTTCCTAACAGGTCTAGACAGAGATGTGGTAGCTGTAAGTTTCTTTTCATTAACATGCCCAGATCATTTTTCCTGCAGCTTATAGTCATCTTGTTCTCGCCACATTTTTCCTGCAGCTTACACTCATCTTGTGCTCGCCACTACTCCATGCTTGCCATTTCCGTTGCATCCATGAATTTTCTGTGTGTGAAAGGAGGGCGTTGTATACCCCATTTTGTTATTTTTTCTTCTTTTTCTACACTGTTTCGACTTTTATCATTATTACAGAAGAATTTTCTATGCCAGATGCAATTGCAGTTTAGCAACACTTGGCTCCATTTACTTCCAGCTCTAGTATCCCGTTTCTTTAAAGTTGTCCGCCCTTCTTAAGTTTCTGTCACCTGCAAATTTACACTCAGATTTGTGGGCATTCATTTGGGTATATTGCATGATGGTGGCTAATTTATTGCCTCCTCCTACCCTGGTTTTTAATCATTCATGACTGGTCTTGGGTCGCTGGAAGTCAAGCGTCAAGTTTCTCCCTTAATACTACAGTTAGCTACCATATGCAATATAGTTAGTTCTTTATGGTGTACCGTATTGAACACCTTCCTACAGGGTTGCTGGAACTCTTTGTGGGGGGCGGGGTGCTGGGATCCACTGAACCAAACTAAATTCTGTATAGGAAGGAAAACACTTCAAGGCAAGGGGTGCAGCAGCACCTCTGGCACCCCGCGTCCTAGCACTTAAGATGTCAACTTTTAAAAGAACAATGGCACTTAAAGGTGTTTTAATCCAGCAGCTCAGGACAAAAGGGGTGTGAGCACTGTCACAGGGTAGTGAGTGGCAGAAGGGTGAAGGTGAAAGGAACTTACATTTCTCACAGGCACTGTCAGGAGCGGCCTGTGACTATAGTCGCCTAGGGCGCTGCCTTCAACGGTGCCCAATGATGATGTCCCGGGGCGCCCAATGATGATGTCACCCCATTGACGGCCATGCAGGCAGGGGCGCTGATCGCGCATTCCGCCTGGGGCACCAGCTGCTGCAGCCCGCCTCGGGCCGCTCCTGGGCACTGTCCTATTGCAGACTGAGTCCCCAGCAGCTCTTTAAATAGCTCCCTGCTGGATTTTTGTCACAGCCCAGCCAATTTTTGCCAGAGTTGTGGACTGGGGTGCACTCCTTTATTTTCACCTCTGGAAGGACTGACGTAAAGCACAGTGAGATTTATCAGTCTTTGGCTGGTGAAACACAGAGGCAAGAGAAAAGCTGCTATAAATTAGAGCAGCCCTGTGGCTAATCCAGTTTCCACATAGGGGCTTCGCTGCCCCCAGGATCAAGGAAGGCACAAGCAATATTGACATTTTGTTTAAAAAAGCATAACGTTTTACTAGATGTGTGTTACATGGACTAACATTGAGAGATGAATTGTAACTGTGACATGTGCAGAACAGGAGTGAATAGATCTGGTTTTGGTTTGTTGAAGGAAGCCAAGGATTGGTTTGCGATTCCCCAAAATAAATGCACGGCTCCTAGTTCATGCTGTCAGGTGCAAATATAACCACATTGACTGTAATAGTCTTGTTTTGTCTCTTCATGAGAAGCAGCTCATTTTAAAGGTATAACCCTGTTTTTTAGTAATTTGGGAACTGATCAGTGCTATCTTCCTGGACAGGCAGATGCTAAACTGTGGTCTGATTGAGGGCAAAGCAGAACTGTCCTGCCTTGCTAGGAGCTGCAGGACCCATTGTGCCGCCAGGGAGCACAGACATCGTGTCATCCTTAAAGAGGGAGCTGCAAGACATTGCAAATGGGGGTTGAGAGTGGCCCTAATGCTTCTGTGTGCCTTTCTGGGGTGGCTGGCATTGCTGGTCAGAATCAACCTTTGGAAAGAGCAAATGAGAGAGATTGCATTTGTGACTGACCCTGCGCAGGGGACAGGGAGACGAGACGCCTTGTGCATGGATAGATAGGGTGGCCAGGTGTCCGATTTTTGACTGGAATGCCTGGTTGAAAAGAGACCCTGGTGGCTATGGTTAGCTCTGCCAACTGGGCCATTAAAAGTCCAGTCAGTGGTGCAGTAGGATAAAGGCAGGCTCTGTATCTGCCCTGGCTCCAGGCAGCTCCTGGGAAGGAGCCAGCAGGTCCCTGCCACTCCAAGGTGTATGGAGGAGGCAGTGGTAGGCTTTATGCACTGCCTCTGCTCCAAGCCCCATCTACACAGATTCCATTGGCTGGGAACTGCAACCAACCCCCATGTCCCAACCGCAACCCTTTTCCCACACCCTAAACCTCTCAGGCCTCGCCTGTAGTCCCTTCCTCCACCCCAAACTCCTCATCCCCGATCCCACCTAAGAGCTCACCCCCCTGCATGCCAGCCCTCTGCCTTAGCCCTGAGGCTCCTCTCACATCCTAACGCCTTTGGCTCCACCATCCCAGCTGGCCCTCTCACCCACTCCCACACCCCAACTCTCTGCCCCATCCCAGTGAAAGTGGGAGAGGAGGCATGTAGGGCCTCAGGGGAAGAGCAGTGGCAGTACAAAGGTATTTGATTTTATGCTATTAGAAAGCTGGCAACCCTGCAAAGAAGGAGAGTGGCTCCCAGAATTAGAACTACATGCTGACATTGAGATAGGGCAACAGTGGACGTCTTTTAATGCCAACAGGCAGAACCAAACCTGGGACCCCTCGAGCATCTACTGCTTGAGCTAAAAGCCAGCTGGCTCCCAGCTAAGGCTGTAGGGCACACTCCTTCTTTCTCTCTGTAAGTGGTCTAGGTGCTACTAGGTAGGCTAGTACACCGCACCCAGAGGGTGTGTGGGTTACGTTCTCCCCCTAAGCAAAGTCTTTGTCTTTCAGCTCATTTCTTATGGGACTTATGTCCAGGGAAGCAGAGGAATTCCCCTGAAGCTGGGTTTGCTTTAGAGAGGCAGGCTCACCCCGTCATTAGATGATTCAGATATGAACAGTTTACCGGCAAAAAAGAGTAGAGGCACCTCATACAATTCTGCTGGATTAAGGAGCATACACAGTAATTCAGGAGAAAATCGACCCCCATGTAGAGGGTTCATGCAAGGCCTAGCCATCCTTTAGGTCTGTCTGCACAGCAACCAGACACCTGTGGCTGGCCTGTGTCAGCCAACTTTGGCTCGCTGGGTTTGGGCTGCAGGGCTTTTTCATTACTATATAGATAGATCAGCTTAGGCTAGAGCCTGGGCTCCCTGCAACATGGGAGGCCCCCAGAGTTTTCACCCCAGAGGTGAAGCACCCCACCACCTGAGAGCTTGAGTCAATTGGCATGGGCCAGCAACGGATTTTTTTTCTTTGCTGCATAGACATACCTGTGAGACCTAGTAGACTCTGCACAGGAGAAAAATGCAGCTCTAAAACTTGATCCTGCGAGGTGCTGAGTGCCCTCATCATCACTGAGGCCCTGTATGTACTTGTGAACAGGGCTGCCAACGGGGGGGAGGGTGCAAAGGGGGCATCTGTCCCCCGACCTGGCGATTCCAAAGGGCCCAGGACTCCCGACTACCATCACTTCAGGAATTGCAGGCCCTTTAAATCACCACTGGAGCACTGCACAATGCGCTCCAGGCAGCTCTAAGGGCTGGGGAGGTGTACCATGCTCCGGGCAGCGCTGAGGGCTAGAGTAGGGGACTGGCATGGCATGGTCGCTGTCCCTGGTCCTGCCCTTTTCAGAAGTGTGGAGTTGGCTCTCCACTTTACCAGGGACCTGGTCTGGCTGTTGGCTCCCCTGGCTGTGCAGCTCTTGAATGTCACAAAAACAGTGTTGGCTGAATGCTGAGCTTCTTCGCAGAGAGGAATTTCTTCCCCTGATGTCAGTAAAAGCTGAGGGACTCAGCATGTTGCAGATTTCATCCTTCAGTATCTCTCCACTTCTGAGGAAGCAACTCTCTGCTGAGCTATCTAGCCTACTTTCAGGCAGGTTACCTACTGACAGATGCCACACTCCTTCCTCCAGCAACCTTCCTCACTCATTCCGATGGACACAGCAAAACTAGAGAGAGGCAGTACTTGCATTTGAGTGCTTTATTATATTGGAATTGCAGTGATATTATTAACATTTGTACAAATGCACAAAATCTTGTCTCTTCTAGCTAGAAAGAGATGTAAAAATCTGAACTAGGTGAACAATCTCAATGAACGCATTGTCCATTTGTAACAATAAATGAGTTCTGGACAAAACAAAAAGCATAACATAAAATTAAACATATTAAATGCCGCAGAACGTATTTACATTTATGTACCAAAAAAAAAAAAATTCTCTCCTTCCAGCGAGGAAGGTGGTTACTTTACAGAATAAAACAGACAGACATACACAAAACCTTTAGTACAATACAGACAACCTCAAACCCAAAACTTAAAGTGACAGCACCTTTTTTTTTTTTTTTTTTTTTTTTAATATATAGACTTCCATAGTTTAGGCTTACTCCAAGCAGTGCTAAAAGTTTTTTAAAAAAATCAGTGTTCCTATATAGTAACTATATTTAAAAGAAGCAACTGATCAGTGTTTACATTGAGCAATATATGGGAGGAGAGGAGAAAGCCCATAAATATGGATTGGGAAATACTGGGGTCCCAATCCTGAAGTCATTATTCAGGCAACCATCATCACTGAGTTTGCCTGAGGAAGAGCTGCAGATAAAAGCCTGGGTGCAGAAATGATCTGGCTTTCAGAGTATCTTTCTGAGCCATGGTAAAAGTTGTCCCTGCCAGGGATCCTTTAGCAGCCTCTAGGGAGAGAGGGATGGAAAATCCATTTCCCCTCCGAATTCCCCTTTGCTAGCAACACTGGTTTTCCCCTCTTGTTATTTTTTCTTGTTATCACTGGGAAGCTACAATTTTGTGAAGCGGTCTCAGAGTCTAATCTTTTGTCTAGGGATGTGACAAAAGGCCATTACATTATAAAATAATACAAAGGTTTTTGAAATAGTCCTGCCTCCTGAAACTTTACATAAGCAATGTTTAAGTTGTATTAACACAGGGCCTTACAGATCCTGTATACTAGATATTATACACTGGTCTAAAAATAACTGATCATAATTATTGATTCTTAGCCAAGGAAAACCTTGGAAAGGGATCAGACTTCCCATGTTGTGAATTAATCTTTTAACCCACACTGACATTTCAGCTTACGTTATCTTTAAAGATTTCAGAAAAGTAGTTTTGAAAGGTATGGAAGACTCACAGAAAAGAAAACAAGCTCTGGGAAGCAATTTAGCTCCAAGCACAAAGCCAATGATAAAAGCCAGATAACCACAAGCAGTAAGAAGCGGTTGCACGTTAACATACACTTTATCATCTTTGGTGATAAATGCAGATGAATGAGTCTTTTTTCTGTGGCAGATTTTATTCTTTTGTTTGTCCTTAGGTTTCAGTCTTTATTTTTTCCAAAGGTGCTGTCCCCTATTAAGTTACAAGGCAACATATTTTATGGACTTTTAATTCAAGCACATTGTATGGCCATTGTTATCACTGCAGCTCAATAGATACTACCATAGGCTGGAAATAATAAAAAAGGCATTATAATGCACAAAGAGCCAGTCTCCTGCCCTACAGTGTACAGGACACTTTGGTTCTCAGGATGAGATAGACTAAGTAAATATACCTTAGATGCTGCCTCACATACTTTGCATAATAAAACATTTATATGCCATCACAGCAAAGGTTTAAAGTCTAAGTCATGTTGCAGATTGGCTGCACTCAGCTTCTCTTAGTTGTCCTCCATTTGGGCGGATGTGACAGACAAACGGTAGATATGCCACCAGGGAAAGTGTGTAAATGTATCTGATGCAAACAGTTAAATGACCCCAAAAGGGAGAGCAAGAAAGAGAGAGCGAGAGCTAAAGTGCAATTGTAAAATAATATAAATTACTGAAATGTAGAAATAAGGTATTAATTAGTTGGAACTGGTTTTGTTTTATAGGCACTGTTTTGTTCTCATTTATACACATTAAAATTATTTTTTCTTCCCCCTCTACTAATTTTATTTGATATATAGTGGAGCTTCAATGGTCTAAAGCTACTCAACACTGCTTAGTAAAAGATAGAAGGGGCAGTAATGGTAAGGCAGTATAGTGCAACTCACTATGTAATAGTAGAAAAGAAGCAAGAATGGTGTTAGGTCTCCATTGGTGATTATATATATATATATATAATCAGCCTAGTAAAGACAGGGTTTCCAGTTTTATGTATTATTTCCCTTTAGCTTACCTGTGCTTTCTAAAATGAGAGAACACATTTAAAAAAAAAAAAGGAAACAACTGTAAATTCATAACTTTTGTTGTTACAAAAAGCAGATGCTGCTTTAAAGAAAACAATCGTAGGAATTTCTGTACAATAGACCCCAGCAAACCTTTCCATCTTAGATGGATGACGTCTGCTTGAGACCCTAAAAGATTAAGATACACATACAACTAGAGTAGTTTATTGCAAAACTAATATTGTAACTTTAAAAAAAACAGATTCTATACAAGAATACTGTTCAAATGGAATGTGTTAAAATAACATTTATTAATAAATACTTTATAAAATTCTATGTGAATACTACATTAATAGATTCCTGTTTAAATTTTGCTTTGGTCCTCATGAATTTTCATAAATTCACTATATAATTTTTTTAAAAAAATTGTGGTGTTAGCTGCTAAAAAGCACACTCTATGCTAACTAAAAGGCTGTTTTAACACTTAATATTGTTGCTTAAAAAAATACAAATCCCCCAAAAGACAGGTTTTTTTCACAACAGTTACAGCTGGTTTTGTTAGTTAACAGGACAAGATCAATTAACATGCTAAAATTCAAATATATTGAGGCAAATAACAGCCTGAAGTTGAACCGCTGACTTTCCACTATTCAGAACATGGACTGCACACATTTAGTTATACTGCATGAATTAACTCCAAACAGCATGAAATTCTCTACATTATCCTTATTGTCCTTCTAAAACACAACATGATAGCACACAAACTACTTGCCTCCCACAGGCAGTGTTATGAATATGGCTTGCATAAATTGACTCAAGGGGACAAAATGTTTGAATCACAACACAGCACTTTTGGGAAAGTATTGCATTTATCCATGGCTAGGATTTCCAACATACTTTCTTTCAGAGTTGCACAGTGAGGGACAGTTTAATATACGGATGCTTCATTTTGAGTGAGAAACGTGGTCAGGATCATCCATCTGTACTGTTAACTCCCATGAAATAAGGCTGGGGAGTTACTCTGATAGCTCACTGGCAGTGACTGATGACAGCTTCAACAGGCTGAAGAGAGGCAGGTGTAACACATATCGGTCTCCAGTAGTAGCCCACAGAAAAATAGAATTTATCCTTGAATGAAACAGCACAGAAAATTCATTTAGAATATCAGAGCTTAAAAACAAGCTGCTCCTCCTACACAGATGTTGACATAGGCCCTCTTCCTCCAGCCCTTACATGTCACAGTCTTCAGAGAGAGGGTTTAAAGACCACTTGCCTAAATAAAGGCTGCAGGGTCAGTCCCCCCAAAAGCAAGTATATTGTAAACATGATGGAAGTTTATCTGTTGAGCAGTGAAATGTGCGTCAGATGGTTGGTCCTTCTACTGAAATACCTGATATCAATATGTTGCATGTTGTTTTGGCTTGTGAACCTTGCACGTAGCATTACAAGAAGCAGTAGCAAATAGCTTTCAACCTTTACTTATTTCCATATCACTAATAACAATTATACCTATATAGGCCAATAGCATAGAGAGGAGACAGTTCATTATAATTACACATTTAGGCAAATGCGTGGCTGGCTTGCCTATTTAGCATTAAAAAAGACATAATTGAGCTATATATAATACACATCAGTCAAACTGTCAAGTTGCTGGATTTAACAAAACTCAGGCAAGTTGTTTTTTGTTTTTTTTGTTTTTTTGTTTTTTGTTTTTTACTGTAGAGGCTTTCAGTTTAACAGCTAAATATTTCAACTGAGTCCAAACAAAAGTAAAACCAAATCTTAATTCTAGTGCAGTGTAGCTCATTTGTTTTTCTAATATTATCCACAGTTCTTTTATAATGTATTTAAGTGCTATCCATGCAAAAAAAAGTTTAAACTAAATTAACACTATGATGGCATTTTGCTGGTCGGGGAGGGGAGATGGCAGGGATTGATGGTGAGCCATGAAATTTGGGAAGATAATACCTCCTTTTTTATTTTTTATAAAGAAGCTTCAACTGGAACTTTATGCTTAGAGCTGTGTATGTGAACAAAGTTTCCTTGGTAGCTACGAGGGAGCAAAACCATTCCGTTATTACAATGAGATTTTGAAATGAATTATAGATTCAGTATTTAAACATTTTAAAAGTATATGTTTGTCTAAAATATAATAGAAAGTCCTTTATATTTGTTTTGTTGTTTTGGTTCTCAAGCTATATAATCAAGTCATGATTTCTATATTGTACACTCAAAATTCTTCTTCCAAAAATATTTGCATAAATGGAAAGAGATCTGTTAAAGAATACTGGTAAAACTTAAACTGAGTTACCAAAATAAAAAGAATCATGGTTCATGATTCTTAGAAATCACTTTCCCTTCCAAAATGGGCTCTACATACTACAATGCTTCATGGGGGGGAGGGGGGAAGTCTTCCTTTGTTTGTTTTTTTAAATAAAAGCCGCTCTTTAAAATGTATTATTCCTCTGAAAACAATGAAACAACCTTTGAGGAAAACAACTCAATTTGGGAATGAAGAGTTTAGCAGCAGAGTATCTGTTAGGAGGTTAATTAACATATGTGGGTTTTTTTAAATGCACTTCCAAACATTTGTCACAACAGAATAAGATCCTGGTTTTGCTCCCTCTGAAGTCAATGGGATGTTTGCTACTGATTTCAGTGGGAGTGGAATCAGGGTCCAAACATACTGAAAAATAATATAACAAATGCACTGTTCTTTACTGTGCTCTTAGTACTTGATTTCCCATATGTGACCGGTACCATCTCAGGCTGAAAGTCACCTCTGTGCAGAGTGCCAGTACAAGACCTGCAAGGCCTATGCATTCAAAATAGGCCTTAATTAGTCTATAAGGCATGCCTAGGCCTTTTGTTGACCTTCTGCACAGAGTAAATTTCATCCACTGCATCTAGCAGATTTTACATCATTCTTGTAACATACAGCAGCTAAAACGAGCTTTTTAATGTCATACTGGGAGTGATCCTTTAAGTCAGGGGTGGGGAACCAAAGGCCTAGGGGCTGGATGCAGTCTCGGGCTTGCCTGGATCCGGCCCCATGGCTCTGGGCTTCCCCCCCAGCATTGGGGAGCCTGCACAGGTGCTCCAGCCCTCTTCCTCCCCCGGCTGTCCTCCTGTGGGGCTGGAGCACATAAAATCTCCTAGGCTGGCTGCCTGTAAGCTCTGGTGGAACAGGGACAATGTCAGTGAAGGTGTATTGTTTTTTATCTTTTATTTCTCTCTTGTGTGCAGCCCCTGACTGATTTTTCTGTGGGTCAGTGGCCCCCAGTCCAAAATGGGTTCTCCATCCCTGCTTTAAGTGAATGGAGTTACACTTATCTACTCCAGCGAAGGATCTAGCCCACAAATGTTTAAAAGAACAGTTGTGAAGAACTGGTCTTTTCTTGTGGTAGTTAACAATAAACTATTCCTCACCGGTCAAACTGATTTAATGGGCTAGAAATAAGACATAAAGGTTAGGCTATTAGCAGTTGATGATAGAACAATGTCACTGGTTTAGTGAATAGAATGTTTCAGAATTATTATGTACTACATGGCTTTTCTACATCAACAATTGGCAGCGTAAAAAACCGTTGTAATAAACAGGTGTGATTTGCTATCCTTGTACTCTGCCAGGGACATTTATAACAGAAGCTTACAAGGCTCCTTCCCCCCTCATAGCAGCACAGCAGACTTTCAATCGTGCATCACCTGCGGCTAAACTACATTCACTGTTTATTAAAAACACTAAATCAGGAGCTTTAAACTCCTATTTCTTTTTTTTTTTTTAATGCAAAAGTTCAGTGCAGCCCAGCTGTGGGTGAAGGGCTATTGAAAGCAGTGACCATGCCAACAAGGTTTTTTTTTTTCAGGCAGAGGGAGGGGATTGGAGGGTGGGTCTGAAGTTGTTTCTTCTTCATTAGCGTTCTCAGAAGAAAAAAGGCGGTAGGGAGAAGAGGGACTTGGAATGCGAAGACAGAAAGAAGCTTGAAGGAGAAAGGGCCTCAGAGTTTATAGAGTGAAGATGCAAGGATAAACGAAGGACAAAAGAGAGTTTAAGTAGAAGAGGGACAATAGGGAAGTGAAAGGAAAGCAAGACAAGAGAGCATATGATTTGGGTTTGATTTTGTTCATATATCCATATATTATGTAACCATTCTTTTCTCTGAAAGAGGCTCTGAATACATTGCGGGATTCTGATGATATTGCAAAGCTAACTCACTTTTTCATGTGTTATCACGAGACTCCCTGAATGCCTACGTATCCTAATTCTTCCCAGTTACCTATGTATGACTTTGGCTAACAAGCTGCTGTTTAACAAAACATGCTTCTGAGGCCTCGGGCTAGACTGGTAAGAAGGAAACGCAACTATGTACAGAAGCATCTCAGTTTATAAACAAGTAACTGGTACCAAAAAATTGGAGAAAGCACCAAAGCATTTCCCAAGCGGATAGTATAGTAATTGCATAACTCCCTTTTTGTAACTAAGTATAAAAAGCATAGTTTAATAATGATAAAAATGAAAGCCAGAGTCTTCCAAGGATTGTGGAGTCTTCCAGGGCTGAGTTAGTGTTGAAAATGTCCTTAACACAAAGGACATTTGATTATGCTACCACTCTCCCATAGCAGTTCCTGACCAATCCGTTTTAAAGAATTGGGTTCATGTCTGTTCTATGACTGGCAAGCTGACTGAGGGTGGAGCTTCCTACGACATCGCTGACGGAAGAGGAAGTTGTAATGGTATTATGCTGGATGACTTGCTGTTGTGAGCAAGCTGGGACGGGGCTTGCAGGAGGACTACTCTCAGGACCTGGGAAGAAAAGAACACACAAACTAAAATGATGTGTACATGTAGAATGCCTATGAGGTATTAAAGTTCTGTTAAACAGAAGATGAACTACCAAAGGATCCAGTACTGCCAAGTCCAATCATTCAAAAATCATGAGATTTTAACAATAGTAGATATGGAGTACTTTGAGGGAGTTGGAGCTTTCATCATTCACATTTTCAAGCTTTTCTCCATGGTCATGTCTACACTAGGAAAGTATTTTGAAATTACTAAATTTGACTTAATAACTTCCAATTTAACAAATTCAAACTAGTGTACCCACACCTCGGGGAAGCCTCGAAATTAGTCCGAGGAAGGCTCCATGCTACCTTGGACTTAGAGCCCCAGGAAGCACTGGGGAGTAATTAGTTCAAATTACGCTGGGGAGTAATTATTTCAAAATAGTGGGACAAGAGTGTCCACACTGCCATTATTTCAAAATAACTATTTTGGAATTAGCATTACTCCTGATGAAAAGCAGGAGTACAGGTTTTGAATTATGAGGCCCATTATTTCAAAATAACGGGCTTGGTAGTATGGACGCTCTGCTTATAAATTAGGCCTGGGGGGGGGCAGGGGCGTTATTTCGAAATAAAGTCCTAGTGTAGACCTGGGCCATGAGGGCTAGAAACTTACTCTTTTAAAAATGAAAGTCATGTAAGAAACTGACCCTAGGAGCTGGGACTTTTTCTTAAAGGCCAAACTCCACAAGGCTTATGATTAAAATTACAGGTTACCAACTGGACGCTTAACGCCTTTACTGCAGCAGAAGGGATTGAAATATGCATTACAATGCAATGCAGCACAGAAACATTAATTTAAGCAAGATTAGCAGTAAAGATCATGAAATCCAATTGTCTTGAGGATGAAAATTAAAGGACCAGATTCACGTTGGTGCAGGAGGGACAAAATATGGCCTTATTTCCCATATTAATGATTTTCCTCATGTTACGAAATTCCCAGAGGGCATAGAGCGGGCACAGCCGGCATCTCTGCAACCCTTCCTGAAGGCACCCCTTTGGAGGGGAAGGGGTGGTAAGAGTGTATGTGTGTGCGTGCGCATGATGAGTATATGGCTGGAGCGCACTGAACTCTGGCTGTTTGTTGCTTTCGGGGAACATTGCCATCTGGCAAATATTAAAGCAGATTTCAAGCTGTTCTAACTGATTCTGGAGCCAGGCAGAGAAGCAGGGAGTTACAGCAATCTCCCTCTGCCATGCTGAGCAGAAACTTAGCACAGCAGAAAGCCTGTTCCTACACGTGCCGTATGTCCACTTGGATTGCTTCTCTCTCCAGTTAACAGTATCTTCATGAGCTTTTTCTTGTTTAATGATGGATGAATATTAAAGAAGAGATTGAAGGAGCTTTGCCTGCCTCATACATACCAAGTTCATAATGTGGCAATATTTTCATTGGAGGAAAATGTTTGTAATTTTTTCCTGCTTAATTTTCCTTTCCATGATTAGACTCCCTTGGGTGACACAATTCCACCGCTTACCAAAGAGCAAGATAAAGGTCTGCTCTGAGGTATTTTACTGGACCTACCAGCATTGTTGCCTGTCATACATTTGTCAGAGTTGAGCATTGAGTTCAGTGGGGCTCCTCTACTTGGGAACAAGTGTCTGTCTATTGAGGGCGGGGGGCTGGACTCGATGACCTCTTGAGGTCCCTTCCAGTCCTATTATTCTATGATTCTATGATTCTATATGCATTTCACTGCAGGGCCATTCTTGCAGGCACTGCGGTGCAGAGACTGGTTTTAGTTTATGCTTGAACCGCACCATACCATTTTTGGTTGATGCTTCGTAAATACATAACTTTATTTTACAAATTATTAATCATTAAAACGTATAGTCTCCACCCAACAACTGATGATGCAGAAGTCTCTTGGCAAATTCAGTAATTTGCCTTCAAGAAATCAACCGCAGAATTAGGGTACGTAACACAGTCTTAAGTGTGCTCCTTTAATTTGTCTGCTCAAACCACAGGTATTTCATTTGAAACCTGAATTCTATGATGTTCATTCAGAAAGAATGGTTTAAATGAAGGTACTGAATGGATGGAAGAAGGGATTGGTACCTTTGATTGCTGTTCTTATGAGTGATTGTATAGCATGCAAATATACCAGTTACTTACTTAGATATCCTTGTGACTCTTTCTGCATGGCTGTGATTGGACAGTCTTTATGTGTTAACAATAACTGTTTCAGCTGTGCTACCTCATTTTTCAACATGGAAACCTCATTCTATGGAAAAGAAAAACAGACTTTTAGGCAGTGGCAAAAAGTTAACAAACAAGTGAGATTTCTCCTGTCTCGGTAACTCAGGGTACATCTACACTACGGAGAAGATCAAAGCTGTAGCTGTGGATCTTCCAGGGATCGAATTATTGAGTCTAGTGAACACATGCTGATGCGAACTGAGAGGAGTGCTCCGATCGATGCTGGTAGTTCTGCTTCCATGAGGAGCAAGGGAAGTCAAAGGGAGAGTGTTCTCCCTTCAGCTTCCTGTGGTGTGGACAGCGCCAAAAGTCAAGTTAAGGTACTTCGACTTCAGCTATGCAATTAACGTAGCTGAAATTGTGTTCTTCATTTGACCTTATCCTGTAGTGTAGACATACTCTAAGAAAACTGAGCTGCATAGGGTTAATTTTTACACAAAATTTAGCCCTCTGTATGGGAATTCTTTTACACAATAGCTATTGGGATAGATTTCTTCTATACATCAGTGCCAGTCTGGAATATCTCCATCAGCTTCAGCTATTGGTGTACTAGTCTTGCATTTGAATGCATTTACCGTTTGTGTCATAATATTAGTGTTATTTAAGCACCACTATTGTTTGTCAGTTTTGTAGATCTGATATAAATACATTATGTGTGTACAATTTTGCATGGTATACGGGAAATAACATGTTAATTAAAACATCCTTAACAAAGACCTTTTTAATAACAAAAAATCATTGCTCTAGATTTTTAATTTGATTTAAAAAGTGTTATTTTTCCTTTAAAAATCAGGTAATTGTATCTTGCTTGCAAATCATATATAGAATCAGCAAGGGAAAAGATCCATTCAATAGTATGGGTGGTGATTTGTAGAAATTATTACAGGTTGCACTTCTGTAAACTGAAACCTTCTGGTCCAGCAAGTGGTCCTGTCAGAAAAATGGATGTTACAGGATCAGAGAGTCCCAGCATGCTGCCAGGTCACAACTCCCTCCTGCTCTAGGTCATAACCCAATCCGCTGAACTTACTCTTATACCCCTACCCAGGTCACAACCTCCTTCCAGAACCTGAATCTTTTCCTGCACCTATATCCACTCTGGGATCTGCACCCCCCTCCTGTATCCCAATCCCTTGCCTCAGGTTACAACACCCCCTTCCGGCCCCCCACACCTCCTCCTGCACCCAAATCCCGTACCCTGGGCTCCCTTCTACACCCAACCTCTATCTCAGATCCTGCACCTGCTCCATTAATATCATAGAAGAGTGCACACTTTGAACACTTACTAAATTTATGGAGTGCCCCCCACATCAAAAATTATTGCCCATCCCTGCCCTATAGGATAACAGGGTTACCAGGAATGGCCAGCATGAATGTATCAAGAATTAATCATGCCAAACTAACCTATTTTCCTTCTTTGATGTTACTGGCCAAGTGGATGAGGAAGGGGGAAGCAGTTGACTTCATATAACTTGAATTTAGTAATGCTTTTGGTACAGGAGTCCCACAGGACATTTTCATAAGCATGCTATGTAAATGCTGGCTAAATGAAATTGCTATAAGATGGGTGCATAACTTGTTCAAAAGTAGTTCTCAGTGGTGGCAGTCCACCTGGAAGGGTGCACCTAGTGGGGTCCTACAGAAGTCAGTCCTGGGTTCAAAAGTACACAGTATTTTCATTAGTGACTTCGCTAATGGAGAATATGCATATAAAATTTGTGGATGACACCAGGATGGAAGAGGGTTGCAAGCACTTTGGAGAACAGGACTAAAGAGACTTGAAAATAATCTGAACAAATTGGAGAACTGGTCTGAAACAACAAGATGAAATTCAATGAAGACAAATGCAAAGTACTGCATGAAGGAAAATCAAATCAAATGCACAACTACAAAATGGGGAAAAACTGTCTAGGTGAATGTAATGCAATTGTGAAAAAGGCTAATATAATACTATAGTGTAAGGATGTTAAGTATCGGATATTTCACTAATCGAATAGTCGATGCATTTTTGCATCGACTATTTGATTAGTCAATAAGGTGGTGCTGCGCCTTTGAAATGCTGTTGTGGCATTTTAAAGGGGCAGCACCTCATAGCTGATCTTGGGATTAGCTCCTCAAGGAGCCTGGGGTTTGCTGGGGACTCCAGCTGACCCCGGGCTCCCTATGGCGCTGCCCCTGTGAAACGCCACTGTGGTGTTTCAAAGTGGCAGTGCTGCTTGGAGCTCGGGTTCCCTGCAGAGCTGCCTCTTTGAAGTACCCCTGCATTCTCCCCCCCACTTGATGTCTCTATTTGATAGAGGCAGCAAGGGGGAGGGGTTTGAATAGTCAACTATCCTGTCAGCTAGTCCTTAACATCCCTACTGTAGTGTATTAACAGGAGTATTATATATGAGACACAGGAAAAAACTGTCCCACTGTATTCATCACTGGTGGGGCCTCAGCTGGAGCACCACATGCATATCTGGGTGCCACACATTAAGAATGATCTGAGCAAATTGAAGAGAGTCCAAAAGAAAACCAAAAATGATAACAGGTTTAGAAAATCTGATCCATATGGGAATATTAAAAAAAACTGGGAACATTTCAACTTGAGAAAAGAAGACTGTGGACTTGAGGAAAGAACCGGATAACAATCTTCAAATGTCCTGAAGGTTATTATAAAGAGGGCTGTGATAAATCTTTCTCTATGCCTACTTAAGGCAGAAGAAAAAGTTATGGGATTAATCTGTAGCAAGGAAGGTTTAGTGTAGATATTAGGAAACACTTTCTAATTATAAGGGTAGGGAAGGTCAGGAATCGGCTTCCAAAGGAGGTTGTGGAATTCCTGTCATTGGAGGTTTAAGAGCAGGTTGGAGAAACACCTGTCAGGGACTGTACGGTTTACCTGATTCTGTCTCAGCACGGGGGATTACACTTTCTGGCGCCCTTCCAGCCCTACATCTCTATGATTCTGGTTTCCTGACTTAACTAGGACATTTTCAATTACCTAAATGCAAAAGAATCCTAGAAAAATGGAAACAAATTACAAAGGATGAATTTAAACAAAGAACACACATATATGAAAAAATTAGAAATGCCAAGGAACAAAATGAGATTAAACTAGTTAGAGACATAAAGGGTAACAAGGAAACATTCAACAAATACATTAGAAACAAGAGAAAGACTAAGAATAAGACAGGGTACCCCCATTACTCAATCAAGGGAGAAAAACAATAACAGAAAATATGAAAATGGCAGAAGCGCTAAAGAACGTTTTTGTTTCAGTTTTCATGTTGTTATTAATTATTATTATTATTATTAGCAACTGAACACATGACTTAATGCCTACTAGTGAAAATGAGAAAAAGTCAGAGGCTAAAATACGAAAAGAAGAAGTTAAAAATTACATAGATGAGTTAGATCAGTAGTAGGCAACATATGGGCTCTGGACTGCATGCAGCCTACCAGGCTGTGTCCACGAAAGCTTATGATATCATCTACATGTTTTGTTAGTGTTTAAAGTGCTACCAGACCATTTGTTGTTTAAGTTTATCCTGATTGCAGATTGTGAGACATTTTGCTGACATTGACCATATGGAGGTATCACCCTCCCTTGCCCATAGCTGTGGGAGGAGCACCTGCAGGTGAAGGGGCTGCAGTTGTGCAGTTTACCACGGCTCCTATTGGCTGGAAACAGAGAATTGTGGTCACTGGGAGCTGTGGGGGATGGCGCTGTCAGATAGTAAATGGCAGCAAAGTGTTTCATTGCCTGCAATCAGATTACCCTGATGGGAGACAGGTTGTCCTCTACAGAATTAGATGTTTTCAATTCACCAGGACTTGATAAAATACACCTTAGACTAACTGACTAAGGACCTATCTGAGAAATCACTGGATATCTTCCGACAGTCATGGAAAACAGGTGAGATTCTAGAAGACTGGAAAAGGAAAAATTTAGGGCTAATCTATACAAGGAAGAATAAGGATCAACCAGTCCTGCTTAACTTCAGTACCCGGAAAGCTCATGGACCAAATAATTAAGCAATCAATTTGCATATAACTAGATGATAATAATGTGATAAGTAACACTCAGCATGGGTTTGTCAAGAACAAATCATCTCAAACCAACCTAATAGCTGTCTTTGACAGGGTAACAGGCCTTGTAGGTGGAAGGAAGTGGTAGATGTGGTATATCTTGACTTGAATAATGTTTTTTATACTGTCTTGCATGACCTGCTCATAAACAACTAGCAAAATGCAATTTAGATAGAGCTTCTAGAAGGTAGGGGCATAACTGATTTGAAAACCATTCTCAAAGAAAAGTTACCAATGATTCACAGTCAAGCTGGAAGAGTATATCAAATTGTGTCCCACAGGGATCAGCTCTGTTCAGGATCTTCAGCAATGATTTAGAGAAGTGAACTTTTTACATATAAAAATTTGAGGACAATACCAAAATGGAAAGGGTTGCAAGAGCTCTAGAGGATAGGAATAAAATTCAAAATGATCTGGACAAACAGGAGAAATAGTCTGAAGTAAATAAGATGAAATTCAATAAGAAAAAAAGCAAAGTACTGAACTTAAAAAGGAACCATCTGTTGCACCCATACAAAATGGGAAGTGACACTCTAGGGAGGAGTACTCCAGAAAGAGTTCCAAGGGTCATAATGGACTACAAGCTAAATATGAGTCAACTGTTGCTAAAAAAGTAAATATCATTTTAGACTGTATTAGCAGGAGTGTTGTAAGCAAAATGTGATTCATGCTGATTAGGACTTAACTGAAATATTATGTCCAGTTCTGGGTTATACATTTCAGGAAATATATGGATAAATTGGAATAAGTTCAGAGAAGAACAACCAAATAATTAAAGGTCTAGAGGGAAGAGTAAAAAAACTGAGTTTGTTTAACGTGAATAAGAGAAACTGAGGAGGGACATAATTTTCATGTACACTAAAGTTTGTTACAATGAGGAGGGAGAAATATTGTTATTTTTAACCTCTGAGGATAGGACAAGAAGTAATGGGCTTAAACTGCAAAAATGGAAGTTTAAATTGGACATTAGAAAAAACTTCCTGTCGGGGTAGTTAAGCACTGGAATAAATTGCCTAGGGAGGTTCTGGAATCTCCATGATTTGATATTTTTAAAAGCAAGTTAGACAAACAACTGTGTGTGGGCTGGTCTAGTTAATGGTGCACGGGACAGGACCAGAAAACATCCCAAAGTCTCTTCCAGTCCTATGATTTTATGATTCTGATAATTAGTTTATAACTTTCCTTTCTCTGAATGCAACTTGGTTTTTGGATGTACTGATGCCAACCAGCATGTGTTGTGAGCAAGCTGTTTACCATCATATGCAGAGCCCCTTTCTTCAGTACTTTAACCCCTTTAAAAAACACTGTACCAGTGGAAGCCAAAACATGGGCCATAGACAAAATATAAATTCGACAATACAATATGCGGTCGCTCTCACCTACATTTTAGAAAATGCCATTGTTGTTAGGGATTGGACAAGACCCAGTGTATAGAGCTACAACTTGATCTGACCAGTGTCTATTGTGTTCTAGATAAGCCATGTCTCCATATTAAAAATGAGGACATCGGTAAGCAATTATGTAAATGAGCATGGACTTTTGACTCCTGGCAACCTGCAAGAGCCACCTTTAAAATCAAGGAGCCTATGGTGCGGACACCACTGCCACCTGAACTTTTACTGCTTATTGCTTTTAGACTATATTTATATTCTGCTCCCTTCTTTTTCTTGCCATCAGGCCATTCTATTTATAATCATGTCCCACTGTCTTTGAATTAGGATTAGCTGCATAAGCTTTCCTGAAGAAACCTTTTATAACTGAGTTAGGGTCACTTTAAAAAAAAAAAGGCGACAAGAAAAATAAATAAATATATGATTTAGTCCAGTAAAGCCTCTGAACCCCACAGACAACTTTTTCCTGGCGGATTTGGCTGAAATAAAAACTTTAATTATGTCTGGGTTCTCATTATTAATCTAATGTGCAGTGGTAGCACATATGACAAGCAGGGCTTGGGGGTTTACCAAATGCCCTTGAATGTAAACAGTGCCTCTATGTCCTGAGAACATAGACAGTAGCTCGCACCTGAAGCTGCATGTTTGTCTGGGTGAGTTCTTCTGCTTTCTTTTCCAGTGACATCACCCAGACCTTCCTCTTCTGTCTGCAACGTGTGGCAGCAGCTCGATTTCTTTCCAGAAATTTCCGCCGCCTCTCGTCTGGATCTTCATCCACTACTCTCCTCCGGCGACCCCCAGTGGGCTGAGGCGGCTGTATTGTCTGAGTGGGCTGCATCTGCTGTGCCGCTGGTGAAACCTAACAGGAAAACAAATTAAATGTCAACGGTGAATGGATGGGTTCTGGTCAACACTGAGAATTCCAAAAAGGAAGAAAAAGTGATATAAACTGACAGGGAACAAAAATATACGCAGGGTGTTCTCTGAGATGGCAGACTTTCTGGCAAGATATGAGAATGGCACAAGTAGAAAGACTCCAGCAGATGCCATTTTAATTACTGTTTGACAAAAAGCCAAAATGGTCAAGGGGTGATTTTTTTTGACTGGCCTGCAGAAAAGCAGGAGGGAAAATTATTTTCCCTCTTTGATTATTAAAATGTTTTATTTAAGTTGTGACAAACAAAGCACTTGACTGAAGAGTGAAATGTAAGGCATCTCATAGTGGCATTTAATTAATCAAAGCAAAAGACTGTGGAAGACAGGATTTTTTTCATGCTATGCAGAATTTTAGGACACAAGTTCTTTAATGTATGTTCAAGAATCATATATACCTTTGGGGATGCTAGCTGCCATGCTATTATATACAGACCCTTAAAGCTTTGGCTGGGATTATCAAAGGTACCTAAGGTTCTTAGGAGGCTGGCTCCTATCAAAAGTGAAGGGGAATCAATTGCCTAACTCCTTTACTTACCTTTGAAAATCCCAGCCTTAATCTTGCTGCAACTTCAATATGGACTACATCAGAATTCATTATGGCCTTCTGGCTAATAACCAAAACTTCAAGGTGCATCTGGTGCTTAGAGGGGCGGGGGCAGTGTTCAGCAATTTGTAGGATTGAGACCTAAATTTCAGATCAGGTAATTACAATCTGTCTGCCCTCCAGGTGTTAATTACAAGCATTCCACCGTCTTACAAAATCCCTTTGCTGTCTGAAAGTTTTACTCTAAAGGTCACTATCATTGACAGAAATCAGCAAGCATGATTATTTTATTTTCCTGTTTGTTTATTTTATGCATTAACAATATTTTGTGTGTAGGCAGAACTGGGTTCATTTCTCTGGTCTTGAAGAAAACCCAGTAAAAAGAAACATGAGCAGAAAAACCCTAATGAAAAAACCTCATTTAAACAAAGAATTTGAAGAAAGTGCCAGGACTGTATTATTTACAGGATGTTTATTAGAAACTGATTTTTAAAAAAAGACTTTTTAAAATCAGTATGTTTTTACATATGCTGGTAAAAAGCCATAAACCATTTCTACACTGCAGTCTCCTACTGATGGAGCTGCATCAGCAGTGAATTATAGATCGCTAGTGTGGATGCAGTAGTTGGAATTACTAGTATTGTGGTGGTGGAATAAAGTTCAGGCCGTCACTTAGCATGCAGTACCCCTAACTGACTAAAGGAGGTTATTGTTGAGCAATGCCAGCTGCTCCCCATTCACGTGGGCTGAGCTTACTACCTCCTTCGCAACGTCTGAAATATACAGGCCTCAGAGATCGTTTTTAATGTCAACATAAAATCAAAGGCCCTTCGCTTTCTCATATACACCACCTTTTGAAACTTCAAAGACTGGTTATTTATGTTTCTGGACACCAAAAGTTTTCCTTTGCCTATTACTCTCTCCATTTCCATCCAGCATAAAAAGCTTTTCTGTGTCTCAGTTCTGTCAGTTGGGTCTGCTGTGCAGACATATAGCTATAGATTTTTTTCCCATTGGGTGATTTTATTCTAAACAAAATCTGGATAGTTGAATTTTCCGTAAGAAATGATCAGTAGTTGGATAGTAAGAGCCAGTTAACAAAACATCTTCCTTCCATCTCCGGCAGGTATTCATTAGAAAGGCGCAGTTCCATCACTGTTATGTGGGATAATTGATTGAATCTCCCCAGACAGATCACAACTCTGAAGTCTATTAGGCCTTATCTTGATCATTTTCTAAGCATTATTCTCCAAGCAGGGCTCCCTCTCCTCCCCCTGTGCTGCATGCCCCACTAGGATTCATTCATTTATAAGGGCTGCTTATCATGCATCCTAATCAACACAGTGGTTGAATGAGAAAAATAATGAATATAAAATGCAAACAATCCCGCTATGCCTAAGTTGTCACTCTGGCAAGTTTGACTGAAAGAAATTTCAGTGTGAAAAATAAAAGAATACATTATTTTTGTAATACCTGAGGCAAAATTCCTACTACAAAGCAAAACATTTATCACTCAGAAAGGGACACACTAAATGGCTATTTCTACCTTGATCCTTCATCCAATACTTGCCCCTCTATTCTGTGCAACTTAACACAGGATTAGTGCCCATTCATTCATTTTAGTAGAACATTATTCATTAGGTTCATGTATGTCTTAAAATGTCTGTTGAAAAGCATGAAATTAATTCTGACATTACACAAGGGCTTGGTGTAGAATAATGGAAGTTATGACAAGGGGGCATGCTGCGCACAGCAATTCAGATCATGGCTTTCTTTGTCAGGAGGCGTGGAACTGAAGTAGCAGGCTCCACAGAAAAAGGAAGTTAATAATTAGTAAAATGCACCATAAAATTAATGTGTCTGGTGAAGCAATCTGACCCTCATAGAGGCCAATACTGAGAGGATTATGGATAGGTTTAAAGAAAGCAATAACTTTCTATTTATTACTTGCAAAACCCTTCTTTTAGCCCTGTCAATGCCCACTTTCAGAAAGCATGATTGCTGTTGCCTCTTAGGAGGAGACTATTGTGTTGTCAAAGGAAGCAGTTGATTCCCAACACTTGTTGTGACAATTATGCCTGTTTACAAGATTAAGACCTTCTCTGTATCAGCTGGTGCCCACAGTCTCCAGTTCCCGTGGGGGTGCCCCAAACTTCATGGTCCCATTTGGAATAAGGTCCACCAAGGCTTTCACGGTATTCATGGGGCATCAAATCCAACCAGTAGGATTACTGGGCACCACAACAGTTTATCGTTAAAGTAAAGAACAGGAAGCTCAAAATCCTCTCTCAAGGTGGGGTGCTAATATACTAGCTCATTAGGCTGATGGGTCTATTATCCTTATATTTAGTACATTTACTTTTCACTTGTAGTCAATTTGTCAATACACTGATAGTTCAAATCAGTGCCCTATCCTGCTCCTGTTTAAAGAAGGGATGCAAAATCCCGTTTAATCAATTAACTGGTTAAACTTTATGATAAACGTTGCTCCAGCCCAACTGGACCTGCCCTGCTATGGGCTGCTTCTAATTTAAAGTCAATGGGAGTTCTGATATTTTATAAGCTTGTCTATGGTACTTAACTCAAGCATCGGAGCACCTCAGGACAAATCCCACAGGGATGGAACCTCCTAGCAAATGGAGTATCACACAATCTCTAGCATGGCTGGATGTTCAAAATGTGCCTGTGATTGGCAATCTTATCTGAAGCTCTTGGCACCTCTCACACTAATTGATGTATCCTTACAACACCTCAGTGCTCTATGAGGCAGTTCAGTATTATTACCCTCATTCTAAGACCTGAAACTGAGGTGCAGAGAGATTAGGCAATTTAGACTCATAGACTTTAAGATTAGAAGGGACCATTATGATAATCTAGTCTGACCCCCTGCACAGTGCAGGCCACAGAATCTCACCCAACCCCTCCTAGAATAATCCTCTCACCTATATCTCAGATATTGAAGCCTTCAAATACTTTGAAGACCCCAAGATGCAGAGAATCCTCCAGCTGTGATCTGTACCCCATGCTACAGAGGAAGGCGAAAAACCTCCAGGGCCTCTGCCAATCTACCCTGGAGGAAAATTCCTTCCCGACCCCAAATATGGCGATCAGCTAAACCCTGAGCATGTGGGCAAGACTCACCAGCCAGACACATAGTAACTCCTTTCTTCCCTCCATTGACCTATTTCCCACTGATAATGAATGGTCAATTAGTTACCAAGATCATGTTATCTCGTCAAACCATCCCCTTCATAAACCCATCTAGTTTAATCTTGAAGCCAGATAGATCTTTGGCCCCCAGTACTTCCCTCGGAAGGCTGTTCCAGAACCTCACTCCTCTAATGGTTAGAAACCTTCGTCTAATCTCAGGTCTAAACTTTCTACTAGCCAGCTTATATCCATTTGTTCTTGTGTCCACATTGGTATTAAGCCTGCTATTTATCCCTCTAATATATTTAAAGAGTGCAATCATGTCCCCCCTCAGCCTTCTTTTGGTTAAGGTAAACAAGCCAAGCTCCTTGAGTCTCCTTTCATAAGACAGGTTTTCCATTCCTCGGATCATCCTAGTGGCCCTTCTTTGTACCTGCTCACACCTGCCCAAGCTCACACAGAGTGTCAAAGACCGAGCATGGAACCAAGATCTTCTGAATCCCAGTCTAGTGCTTTGAGCCCCAAGATTACTTGTACTCTCTGAGGGTACGGTAGGGGGCAAGTGTAGACGTACCCTGGCTGACTTCATCTCACACTTCCTTTGCTTTCTATGATATAATATTATAGAGGGTCTTTTAATGCAGCTGTTAAACAGCTCTGAAAAAATCAATTAACAGAAAAAAACAGAATTCATAACATTTTGCATTCGCAGAAACTATAGGGAAATCCCAACTACTTGCAACAAGCGCAATAACAAGGTAAAACACAATATCAGTAAGTTGTTAATGTGGCTGGACAGTAGGATTGCAGCCAAGACCTCTTATTTTTAATATCTTGTAAATTTTTCTAAGAGCCGCCTATAAGGTATTTTTAAGCAACTAAGTGCTTCCCAGATTTCACTCCTCCTGGGTAATAAGAAGTCCTCTTTGTTGTGCAACCATGACTCCACCACCATCCTCCTCAACTCAGATCACAATTTTGCTCTCCAGGCCTGATATCCTGAAGTCATGACTGACCCCGGGCCTTCCCTTTCTTCTCATATTTCCCTCTCTCATCTCTTTTTCACCACCTTAAAATATCACCAGAAGTCTTCTTAACATCAGCTCTGCCTATGCCAAAATCCTTATTTGTGAGTCCATTACTTCTTCTTAACACCTAGTCTTTACATTTCCTGGGATTTGGAATGCTGCAATCAGAAAACACTTTCACACCAAAATCTTCATCCTCCATCATCTTCAGTGGTTCTACCTCATCTGAATCCAATTCTAAATTACCTTTCTGGATGAAATCTCTTCCCGGTGATGGGCTTCTTCATGTCTGACATAGTCACCTACTGGTCTTCACCTGCTTCCCACCATCCCTTTGCCTCCATTCTGTAATTCTCTACAGTCAGAGCTGGGGGTTGCTCTTTCACCTGTTCTAGCCACAGTGTCTGGAATTATTACTCTCTCACTCTAAGACAATGAATAACTTCAAGTCTTTAATTCTTGCATTAAAACTAGAGGCAGCCCTGTCTGCAGATTTGGGGACTGGATTTTGATCCAAACGTGAGCAAAATGCAAAAGCATTCAGATCTGAGGTTTTGGTTTGGTTCCCAAGATTGAAATAAGTCAGCAGCAATGTTCCCTCTAATCTTTACTATCCATGTGTGGATTTTTTCCAGCTATGTGCAGAATAACTTTTTTTACATGCACTGAAGCATGTGCGAATGTAAACCACTCGTAGAAACAAAAAAGCTAGCTGTGGGTGCTCTGCTAATCAGGTTGGCACATTTGAATCTCTCCTGAATGGCCGGACAACACATAGCTTAAGGAGAACATTGGTCCAAGCACCTTAGGCTATATCTACATATTATTTAAAATTTTGAGCAGTGAGTCTCAGAGCCTGGGTCTATAGACTGGGGTGCTAAAACAGTTATATAGATTTTCACTCTCAGGCTGGGAATCCAGTGCCCAGGCTTCAGAACTTGGACCTGAATGTCTACACAGCTGATTTTAATGCCACAGCACCAGCCCAAGTCTACAGACCTAGTTCTTAAGATTTTTTGCTGCATGTTTTAAAATGCAATGTGAACGTATCCTTAGAGTGCCAAGCTACACAGCATGCCAAACTCTGTAACATACCAACAGCATAAATGTACACCTTGACAATTTGCAGAAATCATGGCTTGAAGCATTGGGGGTTTTTTTTGGTAGTAATTTAGACATTTGAAATATGTTCCTTTCTTTGTTTCTAAGTAAGTTGTGATTTGGGATTTTTCAGTTTGATCTTGCATTAAGGCTGTGTTCTGGAAGCTAACAAAAGAGTAAATCTATTAGCAGCCAGCAGACTTGCTTTTGAAAAGCCATGCACATGTAATCTGTTCCTTAAGCCTGTAAGCATTTTCAGAACAGATGATGACAGCTTATTAAAAGGGTCTACCTGTGCTTGTCCACCTGAGTGCAGGGGCGGGTGCGGAGAGGTCTGGTGATGCGCCGGGTGTGAGTGAAGGTGCGAGTGGGAGTGATGGTGTGGATGGTTCTGCTGGTGATGGGGTTGAGGATGAGGATGGTGTGCTGGATGCTGGTGCTGATGTGGGTATGGGTGATGAGGGGGCAACGTCTGGTGCTGATGTGGATGTGAGTGCATATGATGATGTGGCGTCTGGTCCTGTCGTGAGCTCATCATTTCCATCATATGGCCCATGGTGTTCATATTTCCATTTGACATGGCTGCAGGATGATGAGTCAATGCTGCCTTCAACCTCTGAAACAGAAGAAAAAGGGAGGAGTGGGGGGGAAAGAGAATTTGAAATGAATAATACATTTATACGGGGTTCTGAGTATGCAGTTTCATATTTCCAGATTTTTACACACTCTTTTGACACCTGAAAGTGTCTGGTTCCGTAACTATTATGTAACTATTAATATTTTTTCTAGAGTTTGTTTCTTGACTTAAGTATGGTGATTTACATGTCACCTGCGGTGTCTGTTAGGTTATAATCTATAATTACTAGTCAAAACTTAGAGAACACTAAGGCTGTGGCTACATTGGCATCCCTTTCTGGAAAAGGGATGCTAATGAGACACATCGCAATTGCAAATCCGCGGGGGATTTAAATATCAAGTAGGAATAAGAGATCCTCCGGAAAAGGGCATATTTTCCAGAGAATCACGTCTAGACTGGCGCTTTTCTCCGGCTTATCCCCAAGCCGGAAAAAAGCGGCAGGCATGTTCATGTGCAATTGCGATGTGTCTCATTAGCATCCCTTTTCCGGAAAGGGATGCCAATGTAGCCACAGCCTAAATATCTGGTGATAATATAACAGTTACAGATTTTCACAGGATTGTGCTGCTATGCTATAGAGGAAAAAGTATTAAACTTAAGATTACAGTCTCATGCAGTCTTAGATTTTTAAAAAAGAAGAATACCTGCGAAAATAATGCATTTAGCAAAGATCCACACTAAATTATCATCCAGTATTACACACATTGTTGTATTGCCTCAAAAAACCAGTGTATTGGCAGTTTAAAAAAAAAATTCAGACCCCACAAACATTAATCACTTTACAATATTTTAATGCATAAGACCAAACCTTTGTGCTCTCACCGAACTAAAAAACGATTAGTTAAGTGTGTTCTTGCCATTAAGTTCCTTTTAGTTTGAGCTAGAAAGCTCAAATGCTAGCTGTGGTTTATTATTGCATGCTAATTCCTGCCTCGGTGATGTCTTCATGTCTTTTACGATGCTGGAGTTGATTTTTGCGGTTCTAACACAGGCAAAACTACAGTTAATTTCAATTGGGTTTTCTAAGTCTCCCACTTTAGGGGGTCTTGCAATAGCCAAAGGAAGTTTAATCTGAGTAAGAATGGCAGGATAGGGTTCTTTTGTTCATTGTGATGGCAGCTGAAAGGTGGAAGAACACCTTGTGGCAGGGTGTTGACCTGCACTGGCCCTTTAAGATCTGGAGTCAGGAGGAAGCCCGGCTGAGGCAAATAAGGAGGGCCCAGCTGGAGACTAGAAGAGCAGCTCCTGGGAAGAGGAGAGACCTGCCCTGACCTGCCTTGCCTTGCCTGCAATGAGAGAGGCTTTGGCCTAGCAAACCCAGGCTACCCGGCCTGAGGCCCAGGGCTACAAGGAGGCAGTCATGGAGGGCAGGGCTGCAAGGAGCCAGCCTCGGTTCTGCAAGGAGGCAGCTGTGGTTGGCTGGGAGAGTGCGAGTCAGGGATGCCCCAGGCCATAAGACAAAGCAGGGTTGCAGAAGGCAACTGGGCAGGCAGAGCTCCATCTTTGGCCAGGGAGGAATGGCTGGGAGAGACTGCAGTCCACCCTGAGACAGGGCTAGAGAGGGACTGGAAGTGGGCCACTGAGGCCTGGAAGGAGCTGGGTGTTCCCGGGAAGAAGAACTGAGGGTCCTAGGGAGGACCCTGGACTGAAGGAAGAAGAGTGACTCCCCCCCGGGGGCGCGGACCAAGGGGGGTAGTGGATCAAGACCGGAGTGGTCACTGCCAGAGGGCAGTACCCTGAAGAGAACACCTCACCCAAAAGGGGCATGTCAGCGTCGGAGCAGCCAGTTATTTCCCCAAAGCCACCCTGAGGGAAGAAGCCGTGCGGAAAGTGAGTGAACCTGCTACATCATATTATCACTCCAACATAGTCTTCACATTGGATTACCTAAGACCATCTTTCTGTCTGAGCTCAGCAAAGTTAGTGCCAAAGTTAGTTAGTTAGTTTTCCAAATCAAAATGCAACATCCCCTGCCCAGCAAACTCTGGTTAGCTAGCACATTTATAAATCATAAATGCCTGGCAAATATGCCCACTATATACTGGCAACATACTCTGAAGCTGAACTGCAGTGTGATTTGTTCTAAATGGCAAATTTTTCAATGTAAAAAACGGGCTAGAGGGGAAGACCTAATGAGCGAATAAACATTTTCTTAGTTGCGAAAACTGGGGCTATCACAGTGGCGTGACTTGCAGCAGAAAACTTTATTTTGTTTTCTTTCCATAGTCTGCTCTACCACATCCATTTGTTTGAGATCGCAAACCAGGAGAGACAGCGAGAAGCCTGACATGCAGCTGGTTTCAGTCAATAAAGGTCATTTCCATTTGGTCTGTGTATTTTACAAGCTCCTTGTTCACGTTTCCCAGTGGGAGAGTGGGCCAGCTGCCCTGGCTCTGGATCCTGGTAAGAAACCAGCTATCTACCTCATCCTGCCCCAATACAGCCACAGTGGGTTGTCTAGCCTCTGCATCCCTTTAACTTCACACACCCCCACACACTCCACAGGACAATTTATTTTTCATTAATGAGAGGCTGCTGCCAATTAGAAACATTTGGGGAACTATAAACATTTTTTCTTGTCTTCGGCAAGATCAACTGTTTGTGTTGTAGAGTGCTGGAAAAATCCCCAGGAATTTAGTAAACTCTTTGCATTGTATATGTATTGAGGTGGGAGGAGAGACTTCAGTTTCATTGTTTGTCTGGGTCTGGTAATTCCATGTAGAATACAATGTGATGGCACCATATTTGCATATTACAAATACACCATAGCGTATTTCAAGGCAAAGGGTCTCAAACAAAGATACAATCAAGTACCCAATCACGTTCTCGTTCACATCCGCAAAAGTTATGCCACAGTCTTTAAAAGGAACTCTTGGTACTCAGCAATTCTGAAAATTGGACTAAAAAAGAAGATAAGTCAATACTTGGAACTCTGTCATTATTTCCTGAGAGCAGATGGCATCCACATTTCTGAAGATGCTCACACTGTTTCCTTACTTTATATGCCACCTTCAGATGCCTTACTTCAGAGTAGCCAGCCACCTAGCCAAAAAGGACTGCAGGATATTTCTTTAAGAGCCCCTCAATATATATAATTAGTTAACCATAGGGCCTCCTAGGCATCACTGAGCAAACTGTGCCCTGTGAAACAGATAGAAAGAAACTAAGATGAAGAATTGGAACTAAAATTTCCTCCATGCATCTGCAATATTTTCAATTTGTTTGACAGCATTACTTTATTTTTTTTTTTGGCCATTTTTCTCCTGTGTCTTAACAGCAATAATTTAATGGCAAAAATTGCCATTTTTTTCCCAATAGGAATTCCCACCCCAAATTTCTCCAGTGGAACACAATTGGGGTTTTTTCAGTGTTTTTTAGAAAAAAATCTAAAGGGGAAAAATAGATTTTCGCCTTGTTAACTAAGTTTTTAAAAACTGAAAATAATTTGGCATTAAACATTTTGAGTTGGCAAAAGAAAACAACTTGAAGCATGAACAAAAAAACAAAACAAAACAAAAAGATCAGTGAAAATATGTGTTTCCTTATAAAAGCTATTTTATAAGCTATTGAATAGAAATTTAAGTAAATTATTTTTATCATCTCTAAGCTTCCATACTGTACTCTTCTACTCTTTCTTTTTTTTCTCTAGTTCCCATCACAGCAGTAATCTAAGTTAAGACAGTGAGGAAGCAATAAGGATAGGAGTATTGATGTTTTCTCATTCTAATTCAGTTTGTGCTACTGCACTTATATAAATATATCAAGTGATCCATCCCTTTTCCCTGCTGGGTGCACATGCCCAAATCCCATTAAAATCAGTGAAGAAACATGACCAATTATAGTATCAGCTTAATGTCTGCAATGTCCTTTATCAGAGTAGCATGGCCTTGCAAGAATATGATTGGAAAGGTATTTCCAAGCACTAACTACTGTGGCCTGGTCTTTAAGGTATGATGTTGTTTTATAAGCACCATAGAAAAAAAAGGAAAATGCATATGTTAGCTTTCCTAATACTTATATCTATAGTAATCTAGCACAAATATATAGAGTGAAAGCCTGACTCCTTTGAAGTCAATGGCAAAATTCCCACTGACTTTAATGGTGTGAGAATTATAACCATAATGTTTCTTGATAAGGACAACATCTCTATAAATCAGTAAACATCAAGCAATCACTATATGGTCACACACAAGATTACCATAGCTAACAATATTGCAATGGGGAAGCTGAGAGCAGACTTTGGCCTAGCATACTTTTAAGTGTCACAATGGATTTTTCACCTTGCATTATACAATAATTGTGATGGGGGAACATGAGAATAAATTCCACTCAATCCTTGTCTGTTAACAAATATTTTATACTATAAGTAGCAGAAACCACTTTTTGCAAATCATGCCACTTACATTCTTAAAAGCAAACTAGAGGTGATTTATCTCTATCCAATCAATGACCATATTTCAGAGATTGATTGAACTCAGATGTCACATTGAAAGCTAGCTCCTGCTTTCCTTGTGCACTTAAAATCCTACTGACTTCAGGAAAATCTTCAAGATATGCAGGATCTAGCTAGCCATAAATCACATTGTCCTAAAGTTAAGAGAAAGGGGGCACAAGTTGCTAACCTTCGAATTGAATGACCTGAAGCAAGGTCTTTGTGCGTTGGTTTCTGCATCTGTGAAATGGGAAAGAAGATACTGACTTCCTTTGTAAAGCGCTTTGAGATACAGGGATACAAAGAAATAGATAAAAGTTGGGTACTATTAATATGATTTGCTCTCAGTCTGTTTGGCACATCTGAATTATACTCTCTCATTTTTCTCTGAGTTCCTATACATACTGCTGTGTCTACACTGGCGCGAGCTTGCGCATAAGCAGCCGCTCTTGCGCAAAAACTTGCTGCTTGTCTACACTGGCTGTGTGTTCTTGCACAAGTAAACTGACGTTCTAATGTATAAAATCAGGGCTTCTTGCATGAGAAC